GGCCGAGATCCTATTCCACTGAAGTTCGGTGTCATTAGGACAAGACAGCGAGAGTTCGCTATGCAGTGCTTCTTGATAGGCTTGCCTGACCGACGGCTGGGACGATTTCTCCGTTGCCAATCGGCGGAGACGCTTTGCGCGCCTTCCGGTAAAGTTCATGGAAAAACGACAGCGCACCAAGGCATGATCAGAGTCGACACAGGTACTCCAGTATGAGCGGCAATCCAGAATGGAACCGCGCCACCTGTAACTTATGGCTATGTGGTCAATTTGGGCCCATCACTGGCCAGCTACAGGAAGACGCGAAGTGGCACTTCGGCGCCCACTGTGTCTAAAAGCAGTGCTACTAAGAAACAACTGGTGCTCCGCACACAGTTGCAGCAGACGCTCGCCGTTGTCAGACCGTTCGGCGTTAAGTCCATACTTACCACCCAGCTGAGCTTCAGAAGAGCTCAGATGCTCTACTTGCGCGTTCATATCCCCTGCAAGTACTATAATATTTGAACTAGTAGCACAGCGTAGTATGGCGTTCAGTTCGTGATAGAAAGTGTCCTTGACTGCATTAGAACTGCAGGCGGTGGGAGCATAAGCAGAAATCACAAACAAACAGTGTTTTGTTTTACTTCGCGAATTCACCTTAGCTGATGTCGTCAAACGGGCTGCACACAAACGGCTGTTCACCGGAATCCAATCAATCAACGATGACTCAGCCTTGGAGCTGAGAATGATACCTACACCAGCTTGACCCGTGAGTGCCGCATCGGCGGCTCCGGATGCGTGCAACCAATAACGAGAGGATAAGCCGGGTGCAGTCAACTCAATAACCCCGTTAGGGTCATTAATCCTAGTTTCGGACACACAACACACATCAACACTCAGTGTGTCCAAGGTGCGTGCGAGTGCAGCCTGCTGACCTGTTCGTCTTGGAGTGCGGACGTTGAATGTCGCTATGGAAACGAGACAGCGTGGCCTTATAAGGGATTTTTGCCGATAGGGGTCCAATAGTTGCTGTGGGATGGTGGCTGCAGATGGTTCTACACCAGTAGCACTTCGGTTGCTGTCAATTAAACTGGGAATTATAGAAGGAAGGTTAGTAATGGGGGCCGGGATGGGAGTAAGAGAAAAAGGTGGAAAAGAAAGAAGGGAGGCGCCAGCAGTAGCATGTTTTCGCTTATCCGCCCTGCTGTATGCAGCAGATAAGGCGACCCTTGATAATCTGCGCGACGGCCGATGCAGGATGAAGTTTACGTTTGAAGAGAATGTCATGGTTGTATGTGGGCTGGGATACTGCCAGGGCGCCCAGACCTAGACAGGAGGACGATTAGGGTCCTCATCCAAAGCCTTTGGCTCAAAAGCCTGTCCGCAAGGCAGCGGAGTGGCAGTGATTTAGTTTTACAGAAATGGAAGCCATCCCATTTCAAACCCCCAACCTGGAGGACCAGGAGACTGAGTTTGTCTGACCTCTCACCATTGACCAACCTGGTAGAAGTAGCTCTCAAGATGCTCGGAGACATCACCCAGTAAAGCTTAATGGATCCATGAGGTACGCAAACCGTCGCACCACGTTAAGGTCCAGTCTCGTTGCACCGAATGTTCCTAATGCCGAATTGCAAGAAAGATCGGCCCAACAGACTTCCGGGAGGTTGAAATCCCCTAGAACTAAACACTTATTCGCAGACTGAGTGCGAATAAAGTCAAGTATCCTCCTGGAATAACTTCCAGGACTTCTGTATATCACTATAACTGTAAACTGGGTAGAGGAAGTGCACGAAACAACCGATAGGGCTTTAACAGTCTGATCCGACGACTGGAATTTGCAGGTCCTCAACACATCTAAGTTACAGCTCACATACAGTACAACGCCTCCGCCTTGGCGACCAACGGAGCGATCAGTTCTAAGCAGCGCGTAGCCAGGTAAATATACCTCACCGTCCGTGATATTCGGAGACAACCATGTTTCAGTGAAAGCAAGTATGTCGGGACAAGATTTGCTACAAGTAGACCCAACTCGTGCACCTTGTTCCTTAGGCTACGCACGTTGCTAAGTACTACCTCAAGGAAGTCGGCACGACCATCCCTGGGTCGTGCGCCATCAGGATGGGTTCTGATAAGGCGGAAAGTAACTTCCGGCTGACCACCTGAAAACCCACCAGACGGAGACCTTGCTCACCAGCCGCCCGTCTAGTGTTGAGGTCTTTGATAGCCTCCTTTAACTTCAGTCTATCTGCCAGTGGTAGGTCCGGCTGAACGCTGACACCACTACCCTTAAGTTTGAACGCAAACCTCAGTAATGATTTGCGTTCCTCCGGGGTAGAAAGGACTACGCGAAGTAGTCGGGGTCGTGGATTTGGCGTAGCGATAGGGACGTTCCCCAATCTGGTCAGCTTTCTGACAGTGACACCAGGGAAGCCAGGTGGAAGCAGCTTGGTGACACACAGTTTCAGCCACTTGATGTCATCCAAGATGCGTTCCCTTGGGAGAGCGGCCGCAGATTCAGTAACGTTACGGAATATAACGCTACTATCCGTGAAAGAGTCGGCACGACGGGGAGTGTTTACCCCACGTGCCTTTGATTCGACACCTATACCAGCTGTTTTCACCACTGGCGGTGGGACTGTCCCTGTCTTCACAAACGACGCCGAAGCAACGGTAGCGTAGGTTTTCCGCTCTATTGCCGGCGTCTTACTAGTTCCTGGGCCTTCAAGCCCCTTCAAAGTTTTGCGAGCAGATCTAGTCCGCTTCTTCTTCTGGTTCACTGGAGCAGGGGCCGTTGACTTTGTATCGCATTGAGCAGTTGCCAGCACTTCGTCAGAACGTGCTGGTTCACTGGCGGCCGAGACGGTCAGCATCTTCGGAAAGTTCTGAGTACAATCGTCAGACGACTTTACGACTGTCAAAGACGGCATCTTTTTCGATGCCGTGGCAACTAATTCTCTGGGTTTAGCAGAGAGCTTTTGGTATTTCCGCACCCTATTTTTCTTCACTTTGATCGGCTCATGAGGACAGCCAGCAATGCTACCTGGACTGGCCGGTAGGATGTGCGACTTTATGCCCGAGTGACAGACTCCAGTGGATGGATCGTCAGCAATGTTGCCGTCTATTGCAGTGTCTTCAAACGAAATATTCAGGGATTTTAAAATCAAATCCATTTTCGTATCGAGCGACGCAATAGAGGCGAGTTTAGCTATCGCCTCCTCAACATCTGCCAACCTTGAAGCCAGCGCTGAAAGTTTAGCACCGGTGACAGCCGGGCGCGTCGATCTTTGAGCGCAGCATTCAGCACAGCTGAAAAGAAAGTGAACGCTTGATGATAGCATTTTGTACTGGTCAGCTTGTAGGCCGGTACAGCTTTCATGATACCAGCGGCAGCAGACGTCACACTGCATACCGCCAGATACATGTTACTGGCTCTGAACAGTTAACCTGTCCGCAAGCTGCAGTAGACTCATCAAACGAGGACCCATAGGTCCATCCGTCTCGGTGTTTAGCCGGAGCGTCCCATCCGCCACTTGGAAATAATGTTCTTTCGGCAGTGTGATTCTGGTACACACGGTTGTAAGTTCAAGTTCAAGTGGGACTGGAACGATAGGATGAATCCCGTAAGTGTTACTTCTTGAGCGGGTCGTCGATCCAGGAGTTGATAGGGTTGCTCCGACTTTTTGATGGGTCTAAAAGGGAAACACCCGAAAAAACACCCTGGTCCACCAATTTAATACCTACGTTCCTTACATTAGCTGTCCCAGCTATGTCAGTTACGTGAAGTAAGTAAGAGAGGAAGAAAAAACGAAGGTAAAAGAGTAGGGGAAATCAGTTAAAAGAGGAGAATAACACCAATGGCGAGGAAAAGTACAGAAAAACAGAATCGAAGTATGAAGATGGGAATTAGTCAGGAAAAAGGAAAGGTTTCGTGTTGCCACCCAACAGCGTCTAGTTGACGCTCAAACACCTTAACCGTAGATTCTGGAAGCAGATTCCAGCGCTTGAAGTAGTAGTAGTAGTAGTAGTAGTAGTAGTAGTAGTAGTAGTAGTAGTAGTAGGTAGTAGTAGTAGTAGTTGTAGTCATAGTCATAGTCATAGTCGTAGTCGTAGTCATAGTTCTAGTCGTAGTCGTCGTAGTCGTCGTAGTCGTCGTAGTCGTCGTAGTCGTCGTAGTCGTCGTAGTCGTCGTAGTCGTAGTCGTCGTAGTCGTCGTAGTCGTCGTAGTCGTCGTAGTCGTCGTAGTCGTCGTAGTCGTCGTAGTCGTCGTAGTCGTCGTAGTCGTCGTAGTCGTCGTAGTCGTCGTAGTCGTCGTAGTCGTCGTAGTCGTCGTAGTCGTCGTAGTCGTCGTAGTCGTCGTAGTCGTCGTAGTCGTCGTAGTCGTCGTAGTCGTAGTAGTCGTCGTAGTCGTCGTAGTCGTCGTAGTCGTCGTAGTCGTCGTCGTCGTCGTAGTCGTCGTAGTCGTCCGTAGTCGTCGTAGTCGTCGTAGTCGTCGTAGTCGTCGTAGTCGTCGTAGTCGTCGTAGTCGTCGTAGTCGTCGTAGTCGTCGTAGTCGTCGTAGTCGTCGTAGTCGTCGTAGTCGTCGTAGTCGTTCGTAGTCGTCGTAGTCGTCGTAGTCGTCGTAGTCGTCGTAGTCGTCGTAGTCGTCGTAGTCGTCGTAGTCGTCGTAGTCGTCGTAGTCGTCGTAGTCGTCGTAGTCGTCGTAGTCGTCGTAGTCGTCGTAGTCGTCGTAGTCGTCGTAGTCGTCGTAGTCGTCGTAGTCGTCGTAGTCGTCGTAGTCGTCGTAGTCGTCGTAGTCGTCGTAGTCGTCGTAGTCGTCGTAGTCGTCGTAGTCGTCGTAGTCGTCGTAGTCGTCGTAGTCGTCGTAGTCGTCGTAGTCGTCGTAGTCGTCGTAGTCGTCGTAGTCGTCGTAGTCGTCGTAGTCGTCGTAGTCGTCGTAGTCGTCGTAGTCGTCGTAGTCGTCGTAGTCGTCGTAGTCGTCGTAGTCGTCGTAGTCGTCGTAGTCGTCGTAGTCGTCGTAGTCGTCGTAGTCGTCGTAGTCGTCGTAGTCGTCGTAGTCGTCGTAGTCGTCGTAGTCGTCGTAGTCGTCGTAGTCGTCGTAGTCGTCGTAGTCGTCGTAGTCGTCGTAGTCGTCGTAGTCGTCGTAGTCGTCGTAGTCGTCGTAGTCGTCGTAGTCGTCGTAGTCGTCGTAGTCGTCGTAGTCGTCGTAGTCGTCGTAGTCGTCGTAGTCGTCGTAGTCGTCGTAGTCGTCGTAGTCGTCGTAGTCGTCGTAGTCGTCGTAGTCGTCGTAGTCGTGGTCGTCGTAGTCGTCGTAGTCGTCGTAGTCGTCGTAGTCGTCGTAGTCGTCGTAGTCGTCGTAGTCGTCGTAGTCGTCGTAGTCGTCGTAGTCGTCGTAGTCGTCGTAGTCGTCGTAGTCGTCGTAGTCGTCGTAGTCGTCGTAGTCGTCGTAGTCGTCGTAGTCGTCGTAGTCGTCGTAGTCGTCGTAGTCGTCGTAGTCGTCGTAGTCGTCGTAGTCGTCGTAGTCGTCGTAGTCGTCGTAGTCGTCGTAGTCGTCGTAGTCGTCGTAGTCGTCGTAGTCGTCGTAGTCGTCGTAGTCGTCGTAGTCGTCGTAGTCGTCGTAGTCGTCGTAGTCGTCGTAGTCGTCGTAGTCGTCGTAGTCGTCGTAGTCGTCGTAGTCGTCGTAGTCGTCGTAGTCGTCGTAGTCGTCGTAGTCGTCGTAGTCGTCGTAGTCGTCGTAGTCGTCGTAGTCGTCGTAGTCGTCGTAGTCGTCGTAGTCGTCGTAGTCGTCGTAGTCGTCGTAGTCGTCGTAGTCGTCGTAGTCGTCGTAGTCGTCGTAGTCGTCGTAGTCGTCGTAGTCGTCGTAGTCGTCGTAGTCGTCGTAGTCGTCGTAGTCGTCGTAGTCGTCGTAGTCGTCGTAGTCGTCGTAGTCGTCGTAGTCGTCGTAGTCGTCGTAGTCGTCGTAGTCGTCGTAGTCGTCGTAGTCGTCGTAGTCGTCGTAGTCGTCGTAGTCGTCGTAGTCGGCGTAGTCGTCGTAGTCGTCGTAGTCGTCGTAGTCGTCGTAGTCGTCGTAGTCGTCGTAGTCGTCGTAGTCGTCGTAGTCGTCGTAGTCGTCGTAGTCGTCGTAGTCGTCGTAGTCGTCGTAGTCGTCGTAGTCGTCGTAGTCGTCGTAGTCGTCGTAGTCGTCGTAGTCGTCGTAGTCGTCGTAGTCGTCGTAGTCGTCGTAGTCGTCGTAGTCGTCGTAGTCGTCGTAGTCGTCGTAGTCGTCGTAGTCGTCGTAGTCGTCGTAGTCGTCGTAGTCGTCGTAGTCGTCGTAGTCGTCGTAGTCGTCGTAGTCGTCGTAGTCGTCGTAGTCGTCGTAGTCGTCGTAGTCGTCGTAGTCGTCGTAGTCGTCGTAGTCGTCGTAGTCGTCGTAGTCGTCGTAGTCGTCGTAGTCGTCGTAGTCGTCGTAGTCGTCGTAGTCGTCGTAGTCGTCGTAGTCGTCGTAGTCGTCGTAGTCGTCGTAGTCGTCGTAGTCGTCGTAGTCGTCGTAGTCGTCGTAGTCGTCGTAGTCGTCGTAGTCGTCGTAGTCGTCGTAGTCGTCGTAGTCGTCGTAGTCGTCGTAGTCGTCGTAGTCGTCGTAGTCGTCGTAGTCGTCGTAGTCGTCGTAGTCGTCGTAGTCGTCGTAGTCGTCGTAGTCGTCGTAGTCGTCGTAGTCGTCGTAGTCGTCGTAGTCGTCGTAGTCGTCGTAGTCGTCGTAGTCGTCGTAGTCGTCGTAGTCGTCGTAGTCGTCGTAGTCGTCGTAGTCGTCGTAGTCGTAGTCGTCGTAGTCGTCGTAGTCGTCGTAGTCGTCGTAGTCGTCGTTGTCGTCGTAGTCGTCGTAGTCGTCGTAGTCGTAGTCGTAGTCGTCGTAGTCGTCGTAGTCGTCGTAGTCGTCGTAGTCGTCGTAGTCGTCGTAGTCGTCGTAGTCGTCGTAGTCGTCGTAGTCGTCGTAGTCGTCGTAGTCGTCGTAGTCGTCGTAGTCGTCGTAGTCGTCGTAGTCGTCGTAGTCGTCGTAGTCGTCGTAGTCGTCGTAGTCGTCGTAGTCGTCGTAGTCGTCGTAGTCGTCGTAGTCGTCGTAGTCGTCGTAGTCGTCGTAGTCGTCGTAGTCGTCGTAGTCGTCGTAGTCGTCGTAGTCGTCGTAGTCGTCGTAGTCGTCGTAGTCGTCGTAGTCGTCGTAGTCGTCGTAGTCGTCGTAGTCGTCGTAGTAGTCGTAGTCGTCGTAGTCGTCGTAGTCGTCGTAGTCGTCGTAGTCGTCGTAGTCGTCGTAGTCGTCGTAGTCGTCGTAGTCGTCGTAGTCGTCGTAGTCGTCGTAGTCGTCGTAGTCGTCGTAGTCGTCGTAGTCGTCGTAGTCGTCGTAGTCGTCGTAGTCGTCGTAGTCGTAGTCGTAGTCGTAGTCGTAGTCGTCGTAGTCGTAGTCGTAGTCGTAGTCGTCGTAGTCGTCGTAGTCGTCGTAGTCGTCGTAGTCGTCGTAGTCGTCGTAGTCGTCGTAGTCGTCGTAGTCGTCGTAGTCGTCGTAGTCGTCGTAGTCGTCGTCGTCGTCGTAGTCGTCGTAGTCGTCGTAGTCGTCGTAGTCGTCGTAGTCGTCGTAGTCGTCGTAGTCGTCGTAGTCGTCGTAGTCGTCGTAGTCGTCGTAGTCGTCGTAGTCGTCGTCGTCGTCGTCGTCGTCGTAGTCGTAGTCGTCGTAGTCGTAGTCGTCGTAGTCGTAGTCGTCGTAGTCGTAGTCGTCGTAGTCGTCGTAGTCGTCGTAGTCGTCGTAGTCGTCGTAGTCGTCGTAGTCGTAGTCGTCGTAGTCGTAGTCGTCGTAGTCGTCGTAGTCGTCGTAGTCCTACTCGTAGTCGTCGTAGTCGTCGTAGTCGTCGTAGTCGTCGTAGTCGTCGTAGTCGTCGTAGTCGTCGTAGTCGTCGTAGTCGTCGTAGTCGTCGTAGTCGTCGTAGTCGTCGTAGTCGTCGTAGTCGTCGTAGTCGTCGTAGTCGTCGTAGTCGTCCGTAGTCGTCGTAGTCGTCGTAGTCGTCGTAGTCGTCGTAGTCGTCGTAGTCGTCGTAGTCGTCGTAGTCGTCGTAGTCGTCGTAGTCGTCGTAGTCGTCGTAGTCGTCGTAGTCGTCGTAGTCGTCGTAGTCGTCGTAGTCGTCGTAGTCGTCGTAGTCGTCGTAGTCGTCGTAGTCGTCGTAGTCGTCGTAGTCGTCGTAGTCGTCGTAGTCGTCGTAGTCGTCGTAGTCGTGGTCGTAGTCGTCGTAGTAGTCGTAGTCTTCGTATTCGTCGTAATCCTAGTCGTCGTAGTCCTAGTTGTAGCCGTCGTTGTGCTTGTCGTCGTAGTCGTCGTAGTCGTCGTAGTCGTCGTAGTCGTCGTAGCCGTAGTCGTCGTCGTCGTCGTGGTTGTCCTAGTCGTCGTAGTCCTAGTCGTAGTCGTCGTAGTCGTCGTAGTCGTCGTAGTCGTAGTCGTCGTAGTCGTCGTAGTCGCAGTTGTCATAGTCGTAGTCGTCGTAGTCGTCGTAGTCGTCGTAGTCGTCGTAGTCGTCGTAGTCGTCGTATTCGTCATAGTCGTAGTCGTAATCGTCGTTGTGGTGGTCGTCGTAGTCGTCGTAATCGTAGTCGTCGTAGTCGTCGTAGTCGTCGTAGTCGTCGTAGTCGTCGTAGTCGTAGTCGTAGTCGTAGTCGTAGTCGTAGTCGTCGTAGTCGTCGTAGTCGTCGTAGTCGTCGTAGTCGTCGTAGTCGTCGTAGTCGTCGTAGTCGTCGTAGTCGTCGTAGTCGTCGTAGTCGTCGTAGTCGTCGTAGTCGTCGTAGTCGTCGTAGTCGTCGTAGTCGTCGTAGTCGTCGTAGTCGTCGTAGTCGTCGTAGTCGTCGTAGTCGTCGTAGTCGTCGTAGTCGTCGTAGTCGTCGTAGTCGTCGTAGTCGTCGTAGTCGTCGTAGTCGTGGTCGTCGTAGTCGTGGTCGTCGTAGTCGTGGTCGTCGTAGTCGTGGTGTCGTCGTAGTCGTGGTCGTCGTAGTCGTGGTCGTCGTAGTCGTGGTCGTCGTAGTCGTGGTCGTCGTCGTAGTCGTCGTAGTCGTCGTAGTCGTCGTAGTCGTCGTAGTCGTCGTAGTCGTCGTAGTCGTCGTAGTCGTCGTAGTCGTCGTAGTCGTCGTAGTCGTCGTAGTCGTCGTAGTCGTCGTAGTCGTCGTAGTCGTCGTAGTCGTCGTAGTCGTCGTAGTCGTCGTAGTCGTCGTAGTCGTCGTAGTCGTCGTAGTCGTCGTAGTCGTCGTAGTCGTCGTAGTCGTCGTAGTCGTCGTAGTCGTCGTAGTCGTCGTAGTCGTCGTAGTCGTCGTAGTCGTCGTAGTCGTCGTAGTCGTCGTAGTCGTCGTAGTCGTCGTAGTCGTCGTAGTCGTCGTAGTCGTCGTAGTCGTCGTAGTCGTCGTAGTCGTCGTAGTCGTCGTAGTCGTCGTAGTCGTCGTAGTCGTCGTAGTCGTCGTAGTCGTCGTAGTCGTCGTAGTCGTCGTGGTCGTCGTAGTCGTCGTAGTCGTCGTAGTCGTCGTAGTCGTCGTAGTCGTCGTAGTCGTCGTAGTCGTCGTAGTCGTCGTAGTCGTCGTAGTCGTCGTAGTCGTCGTAGTCGTCGTAGTCGTCGTAGTCGTCGTAGTCGTCGTAGTCGTCGTAGTCGTCGTAGTCGTCGTAGTCGTCGTAGTCGTCGTAGTCGTCGTAGTCGTCGTAGTCGTCGTAGTCGTCGTAGTCGTCGTAGTCGTCGTAGTCGTCGTAGTCGTCGTAGTCGTCGTAGTCGTCGTAGTCGTCGTAGTCGTCGTAGTCGTCGTAGTCGTCGTAGTCGTCGTAGTCGTCGTAGTCGTCGTAGTCGTCGTAGTCGTCGTAGTCGTCGTAGTCGTCGTAGTCGTCGTAGTCGTCGTAGTCGTCGTAGTCGTCGTAGTCGTCGTAGTCGTCGTAGTCGTCGTAGTCGTCGTAGTCGTCGTAGTCGTCGTAGTCGTCGTAGTCGTCGTAGTCGTCGTAGTCGTCGTAGTCGTCGTAGTCGTCGTAGTCGTCGTAGTCGTCGTAGTCGTCGTAGTCGTCGTAGTCGTCGTAGTCGTCGTAGTCGTCGTAGTCGTCGTAGTCGTCGTAGTCGTCGTCGTCGTCGTAGTCGTCGTAGTCGTCGTAGTCGTCGTAGTCGTCGTAGTCGTCGTAGTCGTCGTAGTCGTCGTAGTCGTCGTAGTCGTCGTAGTCGTCGTAGTCGTCGTAGTCGTCGTAGTCGTCGTAGTCGTCGTAGTCGTCGTAGTCGTCGTAGTCGTCGTAGTCGTCGTAGTCGTCGTAGTCGTCGTAGTCGTCGTAGTCGTCGTAGTCGTCGTAGTCGTCGTAGTCGTCGTAGTCGTCGTAGTCGTCGTAGTCGTCGTAGTCGTCGTAGTCGTCGTAGTCGTCGTAGTCGTCGTAGTCGTCGTAGTCGTCGTAGTCGTCGTAGTCGTCGTAGTCGTCGTAGTCGTCGTAGTCGTCGTAGTCGTCGTAGTCGTCGTAGTCGTCGTAGTCGTCGTAGTCGTCGTAGTCGTCGTAGTCGTCGTAGTCGTCGTAGTCGTCGTAGTCGTCGTAGTCGTCGTAGTCGTCGTAGTCGTCGTAGTCGTCGTAGTCGTCGTAGTCGTCGTAGTCGTCGTAGTCGTCGTAGTCGTCGTAGTCGTCGTAGTCGTCGTAGTCGTCGTAGTCGTCGTAGTCGTCGTAGTCGTCGTAGTCGTCGTAGTCGTCGTAGTCGTCGTAGTCGTCGTAGTCGTCGTAGTCGTCGTAGTCGTCGTAGTCGTCGTAGTCGTCGTAGTCGTCGTAGTCGTCGTAGTCGTCGTAGTCGTCGTAGTCGTCGTAGTAGTCGTAGTCGTAGTAGTAGTAGTAGTAGTCGTAGTAGTCGTAGTAGTCGTAGTAGTAGTAGTAGTCGTAGTAGTAGTAGTAGTAGTAGTAGTAGTAGTAGTAGTAGTAGTAGTAGTAGTAGTAGTAGTAGTAGTAGTAGTAGGTAGTAGTAGTAGTAGTAGTAGTAGTAGTAGTAGTAGTAGTAGTAGTAGTAGTAGTAGTAGTAGTAGTAGTAGTAGTAGTAGTAGTAGTAGTAGTAGTAGTAGTAGTAGTAGTAGTAGTAGTAGTAGTAGTAGTAGTAGTAGTAGTAGTAGTAGTAGTAGTAGTAGTAGTAGTAGTAGTAGTAGTAGTAGTAGTAGTAGTAGTAGTAGTAGTAGTAGTAGTAGTAGTAGTAGTAGTAGTAGTAGTAGTAGTAGTAGTAGTAGTAGTAGTAGTAGTAGTAGTAGTAGTAGTAGTAGTAGTAGTAGTAGTAGTAGTAGTAGTAGTAGTAGTAGTAGTAGTAGTAGTAGTAGTAGTAGTAGTAGTAGTAGTAGTAGTAGTAGTAGTAGTAGTAGTAGTAGTAGTTAGTAGTAGTAGTAGTAGTAGTAGTAGTAGTAGTAGTAGTAGTAGTAGTAGTAGTAGTAGTAGTAGTAGTAGTAGTAGTAGTAGTAGTAGTAGTAGTAGTAGTAGTAGTAGTAGTAGTAGTAGTAGTAGTAGTAGTAGTAGTAGTAGTAGTAGTAGTAGTAGTAGTAGTAGTAGTAGTAGTAGTAGTGTAGTAGTAGTAGTAGTAGTAGTAGTAGTAGTAGTAGTAGTAGTAGTAGTAGTAGTAGTAGTAGTAGTAGTAGTAGTAGTAGTAGTAGTAGTAGTAGTAGTGTAGTAGTAGTAGTAGTAGTGTAGTAGTAGTAGTAGTAGTAGTAGTAGTAGTAGTAGTAGTAGTAGTAGTAGTAGTAGTAGTAGTAGTAGTAGTAGTAGTAGTAGTAGTAGTAGTAGTAGTAGTAGTAGTAGTAGTAGTAGTAGTAGTAGTAGTAGTAGTAGTAGTAGTAGTAGTAGTAGTAGTAGTAGTAGTAGTAGTAGTAGTAGTAGTAGTAGTAGTAGTAGTAGTAGTAGTAGTAGTAGTAGTAGTAGTAGTAGTAGTAGTAGTAGTAGTTTAGTAGTAGTAGTAGTAGTAGTAGTAGTAGTAGTAGTAGTTTAGTAGTAGTAGTAGTAGTAGTAGTAGTAGTAGTAGTAGTAGTAGTAGTAGTAGTAGTAGTAGTAGTAGTAGTAGTAGTAGTAGTAGTAGTAGTAGTAGTAGTAGTAGTAGTAGTAGTAGTAGTAGTAGTAGTAGTAGTAGTAGTAGTAGTAGTAGTAGTAGTAGTAGTAGTAGTTGTAGTAGTAGTAGTAGTAGTAGTAGTAGTAGTAGTAGTAGTAGTAGTAGTAGTAGTAGTAGTAGTAGTAGTAGTAGTAGTAGTAGTAGTAGTAGTAGTAGTAGTAGTAGTAGTAGTAGTGTAGTAGTAGTAGTAGTAGTAGTAGTAGTAGTAGTAGTAGTAGTAGTAGTAGTAGTAGTAGTAGTAGTAGTAGTAGTAGTAGTAGTAGTAGTAGTAGTAGTAGTAGTAGTAGTAGTAGTAGTAGTAGTAGTAGTAGTAGTAGTAGTAGTAGTAGTAGTAGTAGTAGTTAGTAGTAGTAGTAGTAGTAGTAGTAGTAGTAGTAGTAGTAGTAGTAGTAGTATGTAGTAGTAGTAGTAGTAGTAGTAGTAGTAGTAGTAGTAGTAGTAGTAGTAGTAGTAGTAGTAGTAGTAGTAGTAGTAGTAGTAGTAGTAGTAGTAGTAGTAGTAGTAGTAGTAGTTAGTAGTAGTAGTAGTATTCTCAACAGTCTATTAGGACGATGCGAGAAGCTGTTCTCTATAAGGAACAGATCAAATAATGGTACAACTTTTCCATGACATTTCATCAATACATTTTCAGAGATAAACATGGATGCAATTGCAAATTATGTTACACAGAGTAATCAGAATCGTTCTGCTATTTTTACCTGCCATTGAATCAGGATTCTTCACAATCACATGACAGATATTTGGGCCGAGAGAAAAAATG